AACGCTTTGTTTGATGGTTTGCTGGGACGTGTTGCTTAGTCAAGGAATTTCCATAAATTTAAAAAATTTGCGTGATTTGTATGATTTCGTGGCTAATGCCCCATTCACACCAAAGCTTAAACATGTTTAAAAGTTGTTTTGTTAAACACAGTTTAATTTTTTTTTCTTCATAGAAACTATTTAACCAAATATTTTTGACTTGAATGTAGCACATTGGAAATGCAAGTTAGCAAGTACTTGAATCCAATGGAAAATCAAGTTTTTCAGTTCTCTGTTTATAATTTTCATTCAATGAAAACCAGTTTAACAAAACATGTTTTGCTGGTGTGAATGGGGTATAAGTCTCCGGCTGTTATGGATATGTCTTTAAACATAGCTGCGAAGTTTAAAAATAGCGCACCTAAGAGGCATTGATTTGTAAAATACATATAAGATAGGGCTATCCTGTCCAGTGAAATTTTGGAAGGCTTCACTTCTGCTACCTTTTAATTCCGCTCTTAATGCTAAAAGAATGTTCTTCAAAAAGTTCAAAAAGTTACCCGTTAGATCTCATGTCCAATCAGACTTTTGAGCTTTCTCTTTAATGGATGAAAAACGCAAGAAAAGATGACTAGTGATTCATGATTTCTAATTCACACTGTATTAGGCCACAGAAAAATTACTAAGTAAATACAGCTTTGTGTCAAAACTGAGTGATTACCTAGATTTTGTACGACTATTTTTGTTCTTTTGTATCTTGTTATCATAACAAAAGATTCACGGTGCGCATTTCATGTTTATGTTGGAAAAGGTGTAACTAATCGCATGCGAACTCGTTCATATTGGATTGCTGCAGAATAAGTACAACTTGTCACATGTTTAACTGACCACAATAGTTTTTTTAATTACGCGTATATCAATGATAGTTCTGCATTCCCTCATTGACAGCATTCTCTCTTTCACTCTTTGTAAAAGTGTGTTATCAAAGAAATAAACACGTGATAATGGCAATTTGTGAAATTCGAAAGAACATGTACGTAGTTTCACAAACTTTATTTCTCACGAAGGTAGTACACTAAGCAACTCCTTTAATTTAAAAACACCAATCTGTGAAACGAGCCCCTTTCAGGCCTCCTACTTTAATCGCATTGTGAAACTTTGGAATTACTCTTGTTCTATTGCTCCTTCTTCTAGATTTTCGAGTCCGCTCTCCTTCCAGCTTTTCGTCAAACAAACACTTTTTGACTGCCTGAGAACGTCCTTTGACATTGACTAGCCCTGCACGTAGACACTAGTTAGAACTTGCTCGTGCTAGAAGCTAGATGTGTAGTTAGTACTATGTTATAAACCAAATAATGTTGTTAAAAAAGTTGTTAATTCAAATGGCAGGAATTGAAGCAAATGCATACATCAAGGTGAATATGATTAAATAAGCACTTATAAAAGAATACCAAGTCCTCCAGTTCTCTGTCGTAGGTAAGAGGGAGTAAGTCCAGGGTAATAAGTCTGTCTCTGCAAGACATCTCGCCGATCCGGGTTTGTAAGATCCATTTGGTAGCGCGCCGCTGCACCCGCTCGACTTGTGCCTTCAGGGAAACCTGAGCGGGCGACCAGACTTGAGTAGCGCAGCAGAGTTGTGACTTGACTGGCGATAAGTATGGCGCACGCCGGGTAGACACGTCAGTTAGTAATGGACATGTCCGCTTTAGGAGCCCAAGGAGCCTGTTGTCTCTGGCGGTAATGGTGTATATATGAGAGTGCCAAGACAACGTACCCATAATTGTAACTCCTAGATCTTTTTCCGCGGACACTCGTACAAGTTGTGTGTTGTTTAGGATGTATTCGTAAATCAAGGGAGTTTTCATCCGCGTCACAGTAAGCGTTGTGCATTTCTAGGTGTTGAAGTTGATGTTATTTCCCTATGACCAGTCATCCACGTTTGCTAGAGTGGTCTGCAGAGACAGACAATCTCTGACGGAGCTCACGTTTTTATGCAGCTTGGTGTCATCAGCATATAACGCTGCCCTCATCCCGCCTACAGTTTCACCCGGGAGATCGTTAATAAAGATCGTCCAAAACTACCCTTTGAGCTCGACCCTTTTGCAAAATCCAATTAACATTAGTCTGAATGTTCTTATCCTTCTAAGTAGTGGATAACATTTTTCATTTAGCTCTGCAGGTTTTCCACGATCGCTTGAACAATTAAGTGGTATCTACGGCCTATTTCGGAGTAAGAATTTAAAAGGAAATTAAGAAAATCCATTTTACAGCATTTTTATACTTATTAGATGACAAACTGATCCTTAATTTCATTTTTGATGTGCCTAATCCTTCGCCTTCCAGGAACAAATAAATCTGATGCAAATTGAATCGTTACAGCAATTGAAAAACGACTTCGATCACAAACGTTCAATAGAATAGCAACGGGAACTCAAAATTTCTTTCATCCATTTTTACACATCTCTGTATAGCTGTGTATAGCTCTGTTAAGCAGTTTATGGCTTTGTATAGCTGTGCATAGCCCTGTATAGCCCTGTATAGGTGTGTATATCTCTGTTTAGCTGCGTATTGTCAGCCCTGTATAGCTATGTATAGACCTGTATGGCTGTGCAGAGCTCTGTTTATCTGTGTATAGCTCTGTATAGCTGTGTATAGCCCTGTATAGCCGTGTATAGCTGTGTATAGCCCTGTATAGCCCTGTGTAGCCCTGTATAGCCCTGTGTAGCCCTGTATGGCAGTGTTGATTGTGTTTAGCCCTGTATAGCCTTGTATACCTCTGTATAGCTGTGTATAGCCCTGTCTAGCTGTGTAGAGCCCTGTATAGCTGTGTGTAGCCCTGTATAGCTGTGTATAGCCCTGTAAAGTTGTGTATAACCCCGTATAGCTGTGTATAGCTCTGTTTAGCTGTGTTTAGCCCTATATAGCTGTGTATAGTCCTGTATAGCTATGTATAGCCCAATGTAGCTATGTATAGCCCTGTATGGCTATCTATAGCCATGTATAGCTGTGTATAGCCCTGTATAGCTGTGTATAGCTCTGTATAGCTGTGTATAGCCCTGTATAATTGTGTATAGCTGTGTATAGCTCTGTTTAGCCCTGTATAGCTGTGTTTAGCCCTGTATAGCTGTGTATAGCCCTGTATAGCTAAGTATAGCTCTATACAGCTGTGTATAGTCCTGTATAGCTGTGTATAGCCCTGTATAGCTGTGTATAGCCCTGTATAGCTGTGTTTAGCCCTGTATAGCTGTGTATAGCCCTGTATAGCTGTATATAACCGTGTATAGTTGTGTATAGCCCTGTATAGCTGTGTATAACCTTGCATAGCTGTGTATAGCTGTTTAGCTGTGTTCAGCCCTATATTTTTGTGTATAGTCCTGTATAGCTGTGCATAGCCCTGTATAGCTATGTATAGTCCTGTATAGCTGTGTATAGTCCTGTATAGCTATGTATAGTCCTGTATAGCTGTGTATAGCCCTATATAGCTGTGTATAGCCCTATATAGCTGTGTATAGCCCTGTATAGCTGTGTATAGCCCTATATAGCTGTGTATAGCTCTGTATAGCTGTGTTTAGCCCTGCATAGCTGTGTTTGGCCCTGTATAGCTGTGTATAGCCCTGTATAGCCTAGTATAGCTCTGTATAGCTGTGTATAGCCTTGTATAGCTTTGTATAACCCTGTATAGCTGTATATCGCTCTGTATAGTTGCGTTTAGCCCTGTATAGCTGTGTATGGTTGTGTATAGCTATGTATAGCCCTGTGTAGCTATGCATAGCCCTGTATTGCTGTGTATAGCCCTGTATAGCTGTGTATAGCTGTGTTTAGCCCTGTATAGCTGTGTTTAGCCCTGTATAACTGTGTATAGGCCTGTATAGCTGAGTATAGCTCTGTATAGCTGTGTATTGCTCTGTATAGCTGTGTATAGCCCTGTTTAGCAGTGTATAACCCTGTATAGCTGTGTATAGCTTTGTTTAGCTGTGTTTAGCCCTGTATAGCCGTGTTTAGTCCTGTATAGCTGTGCATTGCCCTGTATAGCTATGTATAGCCCTTTGTAGCTATGCATAGCCCTGTATAGCTGTGTATAGCTGTGTATAGCTGTGTTTAGCCCTGTATAGCTGTGTTTAGCGTTGTATAGCTGAGTATAGCTCTGTATAGCTGTGTATAGCCCTGTATAGCAGTGTATAGCCCTGTATAGCTGTGTATTGCCGTGTATGGCTATGTATAGCCCTGTATGGCTGTGTATAGCCCTGTATAGCTATGTATAGCCCTGTATAGCTATGTATAGCCCTGTATAGCTATGTATAGCCCTGTATAGCGGTGTATAGCTGTGTATAGCTGTGTTTAGCCCTGTATAGCTATACATAGCCCTGTATAGCTGTGTATAGCTGTGTATAGCTGTGTTTAGCCCTGTATAGCTGTGTTTAGCCCTGTATAGCTGTGTATAGCGTTGTATAGCTGAGTATAGCTCTGTATAGCTGTGTATAGCCCTGTATAGCAGTGTATAGCCCTGTATAGCTGTGTATTGCCGTGTATGGCTATGTATAGCCCTGTATGGCTGTGTATAGCCCTGTATAGCTATGTATAGCCCTGTATAGCTATGTATAGCCCTGTATAGCTATGTATAGCCCTGTATAGCGGTGTATAGCTCTGTATAGCCCTGTATAGCTGTGTATAGCCCTGTATAACTGTGTATTGCCCTGTACAGCTGTGTATAGCCCTGTATAGCTGTGTTTAGCCGTGTATAGTTCTGTATAGCTCTGTATAGCCGTGCTAGCGGTGTATAGCAGTGTATAGCTGTGTATAGCTGTGTATAGCCTTGTATAGCTGTGCATAGCTCTGTATAGCTGCGTATACCTCTGTATAACTGCGTTTAGCCTTGTATAGCGCTGTAGAGCCGTTTATAGCTGTATCTAGCCTTGTTTAGCCCTGTGTGTGTGTGTAGGGTATGGTATGTAAAGTATAGGACATAATACGTATTGAGGACATAATAATTGCCCATACATGACATATCTACCTGTTTAAGCTTTTTTTTTCAGCTGACCACTCGTATTTCGCTCTTTTCTTCTTCTTCCGCTGGTCGCCCGAAGTGAGGTCTATTAGTCAGTGATCGCGAGGAAAACATTTAAGAATCTGAAATGGTGAAAATTGAGGATTGCTCAATATGAATGTAGCATCTTTACAGGCTTGTAGCGATGGAAAATGAATAGCAGCAAAAGGAAAATAGTGAATCGAAACCTACGAGCGGTAAGGAATTAATCAATACAAGGTAAGTTTTTTCGTTTTTCTCTCAAAGAAGCAGTATGCAGGCGAAACGTCGCGTCTACATCATACGTGACTACATCGTGACTACATCGTGAGACAAACGAAAAAACTTACCTTTTATTGTTAATCAACGATGAATAACCACAACCTTTTTTTACGAAAGGAATTAATCGTTATAATCGCAATCCCATTGACAGCCCTTGCTCGTAACCTCTTCTTTGTTGTCTTACCATCACAAAATTACTACATTTCTAGATTGTATTACATTATAACATAGCTAGTCAATTTGTGTGATCAAATTCAATTGCACGAGCGTGCTTCATATTCCTATTGTGCACGCTCACGACGTCAGCAAACAAATCCCTCGCGAAAAAAAATTTCCATCGGGTTGAAAATGTTATAAAACAATTGGTTCATACGTCGCCTGTGTGTTCATCGAGATATGGAGCACTGGGGAAGTTTGGAGAGCACTCAAGAAGCTAGAGTTGCTCTCGGCTACACCTTGAGCAACTCTTGCACATCTTTCGTGCTCTCCAAACTTCTTGTGTGCTTCATATCTCGATGAACGCATGCTGACATATGAACCAATTGTTAATTAATACATTATTACGTTATCCATGAGCCAAAAGCGAGGACAAACCACAACTTTTAGTTTGTGTTGTCATTATTTCCACTGTTTTGACTCTCTGTGATTTCCTATGGGCTTGTACAATATTGCTGTCTTTGAACTTGCTTGTGCTCATAAACACCTTATTGCACCAAGACTTATTTTATTATCTATACTAATGACCCTTGGGGATGGCGGAGGAAGATGACAAAAGTTTGTAAATCACTTAAGTCAGAGGCAAGTGATTCAATTTACAAAACTTTCTGGTGTTCTCCTAACACCCTAAGTGGGTTATTACAAGGTTAACTGATAGAAAGTGTGGTCTATTGCCTTTATAAAATAAACATTTAACAAAGCATGGTATGGTTTATTAGTGCATTGAATGATTTGTTTTTGACCAGTCCAGTAGTATCTCAGATTTTATAACTAGCCAAAGATTGATAATGGTTTTTAAACTATTTTAAAAAATGTGAATTGATATTACCCTTTGCAGTTTACTAAAGTCACCATTGTCAACTGATAAAAATGTCTGAGACAGGGGAAACTGAAGTTGAATTCAATGAAGGGAAAGATATCCCACCTGAGCTTAGTATCTGTGTACCAGAACACATTCATGTGGGCCTAAAGGATGTGAATCTGCCAGTCGACATTTTATTAGCAACAGTCAAGAATTGTGAGTATTTGGCTTGTTACATGTTTTTAAAAGACCCATTTGGATGCTGTTTTGATCGACTTGGACATGTTTTATTCGGAGAGATTGGTGAGGGTCATGGAAAGAAAATGAAAGTTGCTTTGATGAGATACACCAGAGGTTCTGTCAATCCAGAATGTTCCTTGTCCACTGTCAAAGATGCTGTCCTTCTTTTGAGGGCTAAGGTGGTGATTTATGTAGGGACCTGCATTGGTCTCAAACCTGAAGAAACCAAGTTAGGAGATGTTGTTATCTCTGCCAAAGTAACAACACATGGATCCAATGTAATTAGAAGCGGTGGCAATGAATTTACAGATGAAAAACATCATATGAGCAGACATTTTCTTGATGTGATCAGGGGTGCAATAGAGGTGTGGAAGGCCCCACTGAGAGACCCTGGAACTCGAGATGTAAAAGTGCATTGTGATGTTCAATTTTTGAGTGATATAGAGCTGACTAGTGCTAAATGGCAACATGACAAGCTAATCAAGTCCTATCCAAAGGCAACTGCCATTGAAATGGAAGGGGAAGGTAAGTCTTTCAGTCTCTAACCAATCATATTACATTCTGTACTCAATGTATCATTCTAGGAAGATGGACAATGTCTAAAAGGAGTGTGTTTACATGTCTTCTTTTATTATTTTGCTTTTGTAACACAGTGATCTTACAGAACAACATCTAACATTACTAATGTTAACTACCATATAATTATGGTTGTATTGTTGTTATGGGCAGTTTGTCCAATTTGGACACTACATTACAGCTTGTGTATACGTTAACCAAAAAATACATATTAAACGCGCCAAAAATCACATACAAGTGTGATTTAAAAAAATGTACATGTCAAAGTATCACATGTGCGTGCATAAGCTTTTTGCATCTGCCCATTTAGTATAAAGGAGGTAGACCTTTTGTTTTTGTGTTGTTGGCGGTGTATCGTTTTAAAGAATATGCTTTAAAGGCCCATTTTCACCCTTGATGCAATGTGCACCGTGAACCAAATATTCCTGTCACATGAAATTCAAAGTTTACTGAAAACCTTCTAAAATCATCTTTCACAAGAGTCATCCTGGACATACAGTCAATTCACTTTTGGGCTTTAGATTTCATGTGTAGTGTCACATGACTTTTGATGTAAACAAACCCCAAAAGTTCGGACATTGAGTCAAGCTCGCAGCACATGTGTCCAAACTTCAGCTTTGGCATTTTTTTCTAAATAACTTCCCACTTTCAAGAATCATTTCTTTGCTCAAAATTGACATCTTTCTTATATCATTTACTTGACTGTTTATCAAGCAAGTTGTTATTTTGCTGCCATTGAAGTAGATGTGAAGAATGTGACAGGAAGAATTGCGGCATGGAATAATTGAACTAGTTCTATGTACAGTGATGTATCTGACCAAGTATTTTCAGGGTGTTAAGTGCGTAGATTGTCAAATAAACTCATGTCTGATAGGAGATTAGTGCCCATGAATGGCTGTAGAATGTAGAAGTAAGTCTTGATTCCCACAAGTAAAACCGATTTCAACTCTATGAATGTGTACAATTTCAGTTGTTAAGTAAGTGTGAAGAATTTTGTTATGGAGAAAGTACTGGACTCAAATAAAACCTACCACTACAGAGGTAGACAAATTAACCTATACTTAATGAAGGTCTATTTTGTAAAAAAAGGTCACATCCAAGCACATGTAGCAGAGTTAGACAGACCATCCTGTTTCACATAATGTATTTCTGGTTGTAATGTAGACATGAAGAAGACCTGCTTAACCAAAACACAAAGTTGTTATTATGTATGTAAACATGTTTATTTATACATTGCAAGCAACAGAAATTATATTTACAATATATATGTGATTACACTGACAATTCTATACTCACTTGAACTAGGAAAAAAGTATTGTACCCGTTATCATAGCATTTGTTGAACACTTTTCACTAACTGGGGTAGATGTTGCAGGGGAATTTTCCGGTTAAAAAGTTGACAAATCTAGAACTTCATGAAAATCTGATTGTGCAGAGGGGCTGATACTGGAATCTCCCTCAAAGTATACCTCACATAAAGTAATGATATTACTGCAAGAATAACTTGGCTGCTGAGCTGCAGAACTGAAGGTCTGTGAACTACAACTAATTAGTGATGAGCAAACCTCCTGTTCATCTGTTGAGTCTATTTAAAAAAAAAGGTAGATGACAACATATCAGTATCACTTTCATGAAAATCTCTAGCTGAGTGACCTTATAATTTATCCATCTCTGTGTAGAGATCAGAGCTCTGAAAAATATTAGAAAATAAAAATTACAAATTAATTATTTGAAATCATGATAAGAAAAAAGGCTACATACCAGGAAAAATAGTGGTGGAAACTAAGTTGTATGTTATGAAAGGGAAAATCTGTTGAGACCAAAACATCTCAAGCTTGGAACACACTTTAGTCATGAAGCTTGGATTGAAAGGCACCTCAACAATAAAGACACCTTGTTTTGTCCACACGACTAAGATATTCAAGGACAGCTCACTCACAAACATCTGAAGTTGGAAGTAGTACTGGGAAGAGGGCTTCAAGGGAAACCCATTTTCACTTACAATGCCACCAATTTCAGGGGTAAGGAAAGCTTCTTTAGGGTACATATCTCTGTGTTTTCAGGAGCATTTATTTTCCAAAACTTTGTTCGGACAACCACCAGAGAACTGACATTTCTGAATATTCTCCACTCTGGCACAAAGGCTTTGCCTTTGAAATGAGAAAGCCTTTTGAGACCAGTTTCAGTTTGTGGTGGGGATGCAGATATGCCCTATGCATTCTCTCCTCATGAAATAATCCCCACTCTCTAGGATTTTGAGGCTTCACTTCCTGATTTTGACCACAGCTGTGTGGTGACTTGAGTTGCACAATATCTTCTACCAACCTTTTGACATCTTTTTCATTTTATCAATGGCCTCTGGCCTGGTGAAGACTCTTTAACGCTCTGAAGCTGTTATGAAACCAGCCTTGTGAATATACCATTCCTCACATTGCTACTGCATTGAAGTGGTGCTCTCTACACAATCTCTTTCTGCTTTACTGAGGGGTAACAACCTCAACACATCTTTTCCAGAGATGTTGGGATGGCCTTTAACAATCTCTTGTATTTTGGTATTCATAATACCAGTCTTAGCCTTATTAAAAGGTTCATTGTCTGGTTCTCAGTGAGCTTTGGTAGTATGGTGGAGTTTTGTTTATTAGGGGCAAGATAACTGCAGGTGTATCAGTTATTAACTGACACATCTATTTAGTGAATTGACAGACATATTCCTCATCTTTTGGATTCCTGTCTTCAGGAGCACGAACATCTCGGTCAATATACTGGGAACAAATGTGTTCACGTTTCTTTTTTTGTCAGAGGGTTTTTTTATTATTATTTTTTATTACCAGGCCCTTCACTTTGCACGATTTAATATTTTCTCTAGGTTTTTTTAACCTAGATACATGGGCCACTGGTTACACTATCTTTACCTCGGGTGTTTAACAAATATTCTGGGGAATACATGGCAGCTGCAATGTGCTTGCATTCCCCATCTCGACCACATTTACATTTAGCTTGAAGGACACTGCCCCGGTTTGCACCTATGCCTTTAACAATAAACCAAAGGTCGTAGTGTTCCTTTCCCTCTTCCGTTTTTATTTTCATAAAAGGGTGCACATTGACTGCATATACATGAATTCCCTCTAGAATTCAAATGAGATGTTAATAAAGATTTCACGTAACCATCATCGAAAAGTCGATAATCTCCAAATGACCGATAAACGGCGAGTCCTTGCTTATCGTAACCGGTGGAGTGGTAAATCAAATAATTAAAAATATCGTACAATCCAAACGGCGGCGACGCGTTAATATTGTTGACAGTCTTCAGGAGAAATGGATTGGGAATTAGCATATCATGAATTACTGATTCGTTTAAAGCATTGGCGTCGTCTTTTTCGAAATTTGGATCCACTGGCAGAACCATTTTTCGACCACGGAGGCGATTCCCACTGAGTTAAGCGAGGCTTTCGAGTATCCGCTCGCTAAAAAATCTCATGTTCTTGTAGATATTTTTTAAACTCTGCCACGCTCATTCCGTTGAAGTCGGCTTTACTCTTGTGATCCGTCATTTTTAAGTCTAACTCTTCTTAAAGGTTGACCCGAGCTTCGCAGAATTTCCCACATTTAATAGCTAAGGAAATCCACAAGATACGTGATTCCATGTGGGATTCAAGGCTTCCTCACGTTCTACAGCAATTCGTGGGCACTAATTTCCCAATAGAAGTGATTTTATTCAACAATCTACGTACTTAACATTCTGAAAATACCTGATCAGATACATCACTGTATGTAGAACTAGTTCAATGATTCCATGCTGCAATTCTTCTTGCCACATTCTTCACATCTACCTCAACGGCAGCAAAATAACAACTTGCTTGATAAACAGTCAAGTAAATGATATAAGAAAGATGTCAATTTTGAGCGAAGAAATGATTCTTGAAAGTGGGAAGTTAATTAAGGAAAATTGCCAAAGCCGAAGAAAATTTTTTTTAAGTGTCACGCTTGGATCTCTTACAGACTCTATGAACAGGGTCGGCGAAAAGAACAACGTTCGAAATGTTTCACTTTCTAGAAGTGCTTGAGGATTCTAATAAAGATAAAATATTTTTGATAGAAATTGGTATTTTTCAAAGAGAAATATGGAGAAATATCAGACTGCCGGACATTCAGTTATTCGAAGACCGTGTCCGGTTGTGTGCGAAGAAAATTTCCTAAAGGTCAATTTCCAACCTTGATGCAACGAGGTTGTTTGTTTTTGTTTTGAATCACTATCAACGATAAGTGAACGTGTTCGTTTTAAGCACTGTTCGAACCGACCTTCCCGACATGTTGTTACATATGTTACATACTAATGCGACTTCCTAATCGGAATTTATAACTGACTTCTCATTTTCTGACGAAATTATTTTACCAGAAGAGCTATTTCTAACTTCGTGTGCAAAAAAAACATCCGTTGCAACAGCTTAGGAATGTGTTCAAAATAAACTTTTTCTTAGTGTATCGTATTTCGGCAGCATCAGCTAAGGCGCCCGTTTGAAACCAGTTGTCGCGTTCTGAATACAAACCCATGCGCGATTGCGTATTTCATAGCTTTTATCATCGGTGAACACGCTGTTCTCGAAAACTAGTTTGTTCATCTCGCCTTTTAAACAAAAACTAAGAAGTTTTACTAGCTTATTTTAATGGTGTTGTGTTACAGTTTAGTTACTTGTCACGGCTCGTATGCAAATTTTTATGCGAGGCCGGATTTACTTCGCGTTTTATTAATTGTATTTACTTCTTGTTTTATTATTTGTTTAATCATCGATCGATGTTCACCTAATTGCTCGAAAAAGAGAAGGGAAAATTAAATGTAGTAGTTGTAGTAGTTCAAGTTTGTTTGAGACACGTGCGACGAGAAATAAAACTGTTTACATTTCGGTGCGTAAACACCGAAGCGAGCGCCGATTGCAATGAATAAAATAAAACATTAATCACAATCTGAAATAGCATATTTTCCTTCTGTTCCCCATCGAAGGTGATCGAGTTAAGTTTGAATTTTCGAAGAAATCACGGGCGATGTGAAAAGTAAATTGATTACATTCCGGTGCGTAAACAGCGCTGATTGTAATGAATAAATTAAGAAGCATGTTACTCGCTTAATAATACACGTGTTTCGATGCCTTGTGTAGGTAACGTTTTCCTTTCCCCTGATTCATCAGCAACTCAAACCAAGCAAATCTACTGCGAAGCAATGCGACATGCGTGAGTGTAACATGTAAATTTTCCGTTGCCGACTCATCGCTTTTTCAAACCAATAAGTTCTTTGTTTTACACAACAGTAGTGAAATACAAAGGAAACGTGTAACTCTGAATAACAAAGGCGAATGAGTTGCGCATGACTCAACTTGTGTGCATTCTATGGACAAGTGCATGGTGTGTGTCTTTGTTGTTTTTACCACTGCCTCCTTTGCTTAACCAAAAAAACAAGAGTCCTTTACACTCTTGAATCACCATGTATATTCTCATCCTTGTTCTCTTCACATTTGCTATCATACTAACGGAAGAATTTGTATATCAATCAAGAGCTTATTTCAGTTCCTGATTATTTCTTTTATTCTCATGACCTTAATGCTGTATTCTGAAATGATAATTTAAGGAGAAGTTCAATGTTAGTCTTTCTTGTTGGTAAAAGGGTTAAAAGGACACATGTTCCAAAATTGCTAAAGAAACTACAGAAATACAAAGATTGTTTTTGAAAAAAAAAAAATTTTAATGAGGGTAAAATTATATAGATTTTCCCTCATTATTCAAAAAAATGTGATACAATAGTTGGTACTTTGGGAGAGAACTCAATCAACCTACAGATTTCCTTTAAGCTTGAAATCTTTGTAATCAACCATTTTTTGGCATTTTCTTGAATAGCTTAATGTTACAATGACATTACAAAAAATTGCCAGAATCATTATTGCAGCAACACTTCTAAACTCGGAAAAGTTTTCTTAGATCTCATGATTGCAGACCTCTAGAGGTGGTTAAATTTGGATCTCAGTCTTCATGAATTGTTTTGTTTCAGTCTCCTCCAGCAAACTATGGTAACTTAAGTGGGCACACAAAATTCAAAAAATTAAAAAGCATTACAAAGTTAAAAACATTCTTGACTGAAAAAGCCAAAATTGTTCCATGGAGGCAAAATTTCCTTGATTTCCCCTCTTTTATAGAAAAATATCTACGTTTACCTGTATTCAGGAGATTTAGGTAACTATACACGAGACAAGGAGATTCAATCTGTATCTAGCAGATTGGAGCTGGCACATATTATGCACGGAGTCAGCAATTTTCCTTGCATGGTTAGCTTTTTGTCCTCTCGCTTTTAATGACTTTTGTTTTAATACAAATGCATCCTTTTGGAAGTGGCAAAAAGTTTGAAGGGAAGTGAAAGAAAGAGAGGGGACACTATTTTGAAGGAAGCACCCTGAGCATTCTTGCTGATTTCTTGTTAATTTTGTCGAGAAACATGAGGAAATTTGCTAAAGAATGTGCAATGGGTAAACAGTGTGGTAAAACTTTAACTATTTTTTTTTCATTGGAATAGTCTGGGAAAATGCTGATACTAGTAATGACATAAAAATGATGACCCATGAACGGAGCTATCAGTAAGATTTGAAGTAGGTGGCAACATCGGTAAAGCACCCGCCGGAGAATAATGTGTAAAATAATTTCCCTCTCGTTAGCCTATCAGTTTTATTCAGAAGAAACTGGCTGCAAACCGAGTTTTCAGTATTAAACTTTGGTCAGTGATCATTAAATATTAGTCTCCTTTGTAACAAATGTTTATCTGTTTGTTTTATTTCTAAACAAAATCTTCCATTTGCTGACATGCAAACCTGCTACCCGAGTTTCACCCAAAAGTCCTCTGAAAAGACATGGTAAACAATCTTCAAGCTGCCGGTTGCTTTATGAAAAATCACAAAAGTCGCGTACTTACTCATCTGGCTAACCATTAACCATATGGCCATGGTCTTCTTCGCTTTTCACAGCAAATGTAGCTTTTTTTTGATAAAAAGTTAGACGCTAGGTGTTCAATGGCTGCAAACTTAACATCTTTGCAAAAAGATCCGAATTTGATTTACGTGTGTTATCAACAAGCGCGCACTTTTCAAATTTGTATTTACTAACTAGCAGTTGAGAAGAACTGCTTTTGTTTTATTTGTCCAAAGATATTTGATGATTCCAGTTTAGCACAAAATTGTTTGAAAATTATTTTAAGGTTACTTCCTACTTACGCCGGTGACCTTCGGGAAAAAATTCCTACGCGCGCTAGTTCCACTAAAATCCTAGCAAACTATAACTCAGAAGAAAACTTTGAACTGCAGTTTATGATTTAAACGAGGTTTCCTCTTATGAAGTATCAAGCGTGAAACGACCGATGGTTCTTTTGAATTTATGGGGTATCGGATGCCGCAGCACGAGCATAAAATGGCTGCATAGTCTTATTCAGAAGGCATCAATCAACAATAGTGTCTCAGGCTTTTTCGATATTCTAAATGGTTGTCTAGATATCGGCATCTAAAGTTGGAGTAGCTAAAAATGCAAGGCGTGTTGTGCGTAAATGGGCGTCGTCGGACAAATATTTAAAATATCAAAATTTCCCGACTCACTTCCGTTTGTCATTATTCCTGGAATGTTTTGGCAAAATTTGACGTAAACTGGTCGCGTCTATATACCCTATAAATTCGTTCTAGGTGGATGTACACCTCCCAAATTCAAATGCGAGATTTTAGCTCGTAAAGGTCCGTAAATAACTCGCGCTACGCCAGGAGATTATCTCGCCTCCTGAAACCGCAAACCAATCGGACAACGGGACCTCCTAGCGTCAATGACGATGGATCAAGATTTTCCGCGAAAAGTAGACCATTACAGAGTTATCTCGATTGCTCAGTGGAGCGTTGAGGAGGACGACACAATAATGGGCTAAAACCCATTGAAAAAACCCGCGGCAAAAATGGAAAGTAGTGTTTACACGCGGGGACTAATTACACAGGAAAGAAGCAAAAACTGGGGGGCAAACGGTATCATTCTTTCACTCTGCAGCTTTCTTAAGAAACCAAAATTATTAAAATAGCAATATAGCATTGAAATAAATCAGCTCAGTACAAACCGCAGATTTTTCTGCGAAATTGTTCAGTGCTTGAATTGTTTCTGATTCAGTTCGGATACAAGCGAAAAATAACGCTTTGTTACCGATCAGATGTGGCCGATACAGAAACAAAAAGCACTTGATTTTCTTTGTCGGTTGTGTTTTTGTTGCTGTTACCTTCATGAGTTTTGTCCCAGAGTTGTCGATTTTTTTTTTGAAAGTCGATCAGCATTCTGGTGGAAGTGACGCTCCAAGCATCGTTTTCCTTGTGATCTGCCATCTTGAAACAGAGTTCCTAGGAATTGTGGGGGCTTGTGATACCGATCTGTGATTGGTTTATTTTAATTTGACGCTGGGACTTGTCCCACGAACAGTTCACACGAAGCGTTTTGACGAACCAGTCTGAGGGACTAGTCGCAAGGACAAAATTTTAGTCCCTGCGACTAGATTTTGTGGCAAAACGGCTAGTTCAGGGAACTTGTTGCAGAGACTAGTCCCCTCTTGTGTGCCGACCTTTACTGATTTATTAACTTTTATTTGGAAATACGTTTTTTTCTAAACAACTCGGGTGCGTTTAAAGATTTCAGAAATTTTTGTATGGAAACGTGAGCTTAAATGATTAAATTCAGTTAAATCAAATAAAAGCAAAAACGATTTTTTGGCCTCTGAGGGTGAGAAATAACCTTGAGTAACCGACGATGTGTAGTTCCAAATTTATATAAAACACGCAAAACAAGCAGAAAAAGAAAACTGCCTGTGAAATAATGAATCTAAAAATCAAAGAGCATGGAAATTGAAAATAAATAAGATGAATGCTCCAGTACTTAAGTGACTCCTCTGTGTTACTGAATAATTTTTTTGTTCTATAAATTCGACTTGAACATGGCAAAGTATACCCGGCGATTCACAACAGCACACCTGCTGGAGCTCCGGTAGGTGCCGGGTGTTATTAAATGCAGTGCATGAATAAATTGTTGGAGATGATTTTAAGTGGATAGAATTGGGCTCTATGTTTGGAACTTTCTCAGTGGTGCGAATGAAGAACATTTGAAAAAGCTAATAGATGAGTTTGTTCGGAAATTTTATGAGCATTTGGAAAGTTTTCATTCAGTTCCTTTTTATTTGCCTCTCCCCCATTGTGGCATGAACATGTGATATACTTATTTTTATCAACATTGTATTTTGTAACATAATTGTTCATTGTTATCCAGTAAAGTTCATTAGTCTTTTTTAACCTGAATTGATATATTGGTATGGGTGATACCGATCAATGTCGGGTTTCTTTGATAGTTTTAACAGTTTCACTGATTGGGCTTGCGAAGCAACGGTGGTCTCTTAAGGATGGCCTTGAGTTGAAGCTATGTCTTGAATTGTTCACTTTGTTGATTTTAGGACTTTTCGCTTCTGAGTTTGATCATCAGATTGGATGGTTGGTGCTAAAGGGTATTTCAGAATATGCAGATAGTACAGTGTGTTCATCAGAGAAGTGGAACACTTTTGCAAGTGTGATGGCTGCTTCTGTCGTTGTAAAGATTTTGAGTGATCCTGATGTATTTCAAGAGTGGAGCCATTATCAAGGTAACATGAGTGAGCAATGTCTTTTGACTGCATAAATATGTCTTAATCGTCAAATTTGCAACATTATCTCAACACTTTAAAACTTAGCTATTGCAAAGTGTTTATTAAAAAACCAAGCTTTTTTGAAGCAGAACTTAGGTTGAAGTTCATGCAGTGGGTTACCATTTCAGAATCGTAGAATAGAATACTTCTTAGGTAATTTAATGGCTTCTACAAGAAATACAACTGTATATCTACAGGTACCATTGGCTATTTTACTACTCATGTGAAAAAATTGTATTTGTATCACATAGTTGAACTCCACATGTCGTTTTGTGGATGAAATTTCACGGTATTGAAACTCAGACAATTACCAGGAACTAAGCAAATAGGTTACCCAAGCAAGTAAGTTTTTTGTATGTGCATTAGTTTACATTATTTCGGTTCATGTTTTTGTGGCAATGTTTCCCAAAACATAAGTTCACGCTAGTGGAACAGCATGATGTTCATTGATTTTAAGCTCATTCATGCTGAAAGCAATGAATGAGGTATTGTGGTGAAGATGTTGACGGAAGTTGTCGACCGTGGACGGAAGTTGCTTTGTGGACCGTGAACGGAAGTAGTCTCGCAGGCTACCCCACTTAGCGAAGGTCAAAATAATTTCGATGAAGCTCAGAAACTCACGTGGAAAGAAATAAAGTGGTTGTATGGTTAAATAAAAATAATAACCTCAAATCACTTTTCCGAACTTCTAAAAATGCAACTTGAATCGAGAAGCCGAAATGCTCACTGTTCATTTCAACACACGCTGTGACCACGCAGAAGAGCATCAGAGGTAGCCATGTTGGTAAGCCGCGCATTAGCGTTCGTCTTCATTTGGTATAAAGTTATCATTGCTCTTCATTGTGCTTGTATTCGAGAAACAATTGCAAACTTTGCATGTGGTCCATACGTTTCATCTTTTTAACCGATATGTGATCATTTTGTTGACAAAAATGCGGACCGAGACCAAAACTGTTCCTTCGACTTGACATATTTTCATACTGATTTTCACATATGTGCCTTACAGGAACCGGCCAAATTTTATAGGGAAAAGCGAAGCGTTGCTTTCGTGACTGGTTATTTGTTTACTTTTCTGGTGGTTAATCTCTCGTCTGTTGGTTGACTACGCAGATATTGATATGTGAAAATCAGACTATGTGAGGGCTTGAAATTCTATTAAGAACGATTGTGGCCGCTGTGTTAAAAACAAAAGATATCAAGAAACGGGCAAGGAATATTTCACAATTGTGCAAATGGACGCGAAAGATAAGGGTTACCAATATTTTGTTGCTAGAGCAGCATTTGATGCCTTATTATACCTACTCAGCCCACCTTCCGCCCCAAAAACACACACACAACAAGAAAAAGGACCCTGTCTGCCTAATGACCTCTGCCTATCGTACCTCCAGCCCACACAACCTTTTTTCCAATTTCCCATCATGACGAAAGCACAAGTTTTCTTAGCACACAACTGTCCAAAAATAAGAGAAAATTTTTTCCATAAGTCTTGAAAGTTCACATAAACCGAATTCAACTGTATCTATATTTAAGTCCAAGAAATCTAGACAAACTTAAGCCATTACATGAAATGAGCTGGCTCCGAGAGCCCTTTGATTTAGTTATTTTTTTTATATAAAAAAATCTCTGTTAGCGTATAGAGTGGTATGTTGCTCGCACCAATCAGATCGCCGCATTAGGGTTTGCATCTCGCAGCAATCAGATCGCCGCATTAGGGTATGTACCTCTCACCAATCATATAATAGCATTTGAATATCCTGCACCAATCACGGCGTTTGGGTATAGTTTTATTGTAAATGATTTCATGAACCACGGGGCTGAGCACAAAGAATGACATTAACGAGAAATTTTGGACTCATTTGATAAATGTAACGGTTTGTGGCCTTCGCGAGAGCCTCGTCGATGAAGGTCGATATATCGGGATAAGAAAGGTACTTGATTAGTAATAAACGTAGGCGTGTGTAGTATGCAAGAGTTTTACATTCGGCTGGGTGGGTTGAGATGGAACGGTGTGTGTACTTAATGATTTCATTTATGTCACCGAAAGAGCACAACTCTAAAAAAAAACCCCAAAATATTGCAGATATTATGTGATCTTCTGTCTCTATTGTCTCAATACTTCTAAGTTAAAATGAAATGCATCGGTGCCACGCTAGCTGTTGTCTCTTTCGCAGCCGCCGTTGTTTGGTCTCGTCACACAGCGCCCCCTATTTCCCGTTTGAGGGAGATAGCACGTTGCGTGACGACCTCCAACAGAGAGAAGTCAAAGTTATTCGTCTACAGATAGCTACCTCAAAAATATAGTTGGCGTAATTTTACTACGAAAAGCAAACTGAAACTCTGTTGTACCTCTAATAAACCCTAACTAAAAATATATTGCGATCTCGAATAAGTGAAGATACATTAAACAAGAGAAATGCGTGGAAATCTCAATATCAGTAGCATTTAGTTCCATGTTAATTTTTTTCAGCGGGGTTGGAAAATGCAGTTAGAATACGTAATAAAATGCAGGTTGTTTACAAGAAAATGACACGTGATAAGAGTAAAGTCTAATTTGGCGAAATGGATTTGATTGGTGAAATACAATTCAAGCACGTGAAAAATTGCCTGATGTTCATGTACTGCAATGATTACGTATGTTCTGATTGGACGTGTTCATGATACGTGATGGAATGTAAGTTGTTTAGCGTGTGAGTTGTGAGTAAAGTAGCGGAAAAACACGTTTTAACTTAAAAATTTAACAACAAGTCTCTTTAAGAATCAAACATCTTGGGAAATGAAAGTTTTCAACCTCCCTTCAAATTTTGCATGCCGTTAGGCGCTCAGGGAGGATGCACAAAAATGCCCTTTTTAAAGGTCGCAGCACTCTTGTTGCCATGATAACAACGGCTGCCCGTTCGAGGCCTGGGGCCTCATTTTCATACAAAAACGTCGCAAAAAAAGAGTGAAATGTTTATTTCTCTATCTCAAGCTAAATACAACATTACAAATTGGCACTTCTACCATACATAGTGACATCATTCGTCATCACTTTGATACATTTAATTTTCCCTGGGAGTGAATGTGAACATACCAATAGATTATTCATCTCGCTATAGTTTCGGTCATTTTTGTTGTCGGGTAAAACAGGGAAAACTTCAAGGAGAAATACAACGTTACGCCATCGTGACAACGTACATGTTTATGACAAATGACCAGTGTGGGGATAGTTTCGTGTAGATCAGCCGACTTCAACATATTTTAAATGACATACAAAAATAACAGTGTATCTTTAGAGGACTTTGGATCGCTCAAATTCCCATGAAAAAAGGTGCAGCACTCGGAATCTAGATGATATGAACACGATTCGAGGTATATGTTTGTAGTTACGTCGAGTAGTCCTCCATAAAGGTTGATCAATTTTTTTTTTTTTAAAAGATGACAACCAAAGGCGAGATTTCTCTTCGGGATATTGCTCATAAGATAACATTCTTTCAAAGCCTTGCATGTTTCATTTTTTTGAAACATTTGTTGCAGAGAACATTAGATGTAAACATCGCCAAATTATGTAATATCTGATTTTTGAGCTTCGTTCGCAAATTGCGCCTATAAAAAGTAGAGGCAGGCCCGCAAAGATGTTTATATATTTAAAAACTAGAAATATTATAACCAGCTAGGTGGGTAGTTTCTGTTCCAAAATCGGTGTAATTTTGGAGAAATTCAGATAAACGTTTTCCTAGTTTTATCCGACAACAAAAATGACCGAAACTATAGCGAGATGAATAATCTATTGGTGTGTTCACATTCACTCCTAGGGAAAATTAAATGAATTAATGTGAAGACGAATGATGTCACTATGTATGGTAGAAGTGCCAATTTGTAATGTTGTATTTAGCTTAAGATAGAGAAACATTTCACTCTTTTTTGCGACGTTTTTGTATGAAAATGAGGCCCCAGGCCTCGAACAAGCAGCCGCTGTTACCATGGCAACAAGAGTGCTGCGACCTTTAAAAAGGGCATTTTTGTGCATCCCCCCTGAGCGCCTACCTGCATGCAAAATTTGAACGGGGGTTGAAAATTATCATTGCCCAAGATGTTTGATTCTTAAAGAGACTTGTTCTTAAATTTTTAAGTTAAAACGTGTTTTTCCGCTACTTTACTCACAACTCACACGCTAAACAACTTACATTCCATCACGTATCATGAACATGTCCAATCAGAACATACGTAATCATTGCAGTACATGAACATCAGGCAATTTTTCACGTGCTTGAATTGTATTCCACCAATCAAATCCATTTCGCCAAATTAGACTTTTTTAGACCAAATTAGGGTTTTTTTTTAGAGTTGTGCTCTTTCGGTGACATAAATGAAATCATTAAGTACACACACCGTTCCATCTCAACCCACCCAGCCGAATGTAAAACTCTTGCATACTACACACGCCTACGTTTATTACTAATCAATATAATCAGCATGTGATGTTTGTGATTTTCAAACTGTTACAAGTATTTAACCTTCTTAAAGCAGGAAGAGATTGCACCTTCTTTTGGGACTCAACTCAAGTTTATTTTACATTTAGTAATGCACCTGTGCCATTTTTAATTCAGTGTTCTTAAAAATATATAGACAGACGTGAGAAGAGATGAATTTTTAAAGCTCACAAACTTAACAATTCCCATGTGGCCCAAAATGGCTGTGTCACTAAATTTGAAAATAGAGGTCAGAAGCTTACAAATTCAGTGAAGCAACTAAAGGTTTGACCTTTTTTTACCATGACTCACATGAACGATTTATCCTTAATTCTAGTTTTAAGCTGGAGAAATGGAAGAAGGTTCATACACCGTATGTAAAATTAAAGAGTTTCTTAGATGTTTCGTAGATGAAAGATTTTTTTAGTGACTGGTTATTAGTGCAAGGAAGCATTGAACAAGTTTGCTGTCTAAGTTCCTTGCCTCCACCTTCAGTGGTTTGATGCAAC